CCACCGATCCACTCCACCTACCTGTTTACCTGCATCTACTCCACCCACCTGTTACCTGTATCTACTCCACCCACCTGTTTACCTGTATCACTCCACCCACCTGTTTACCTGTGTCCACCACCTACCTGTTTACCTGCATCTACTCCACCTACCTGTTTACCTGCATCCACTCCACCCACCTGTTTACCTGTATCTACTCCACCCACCTGTTATCCATCCCACCCACCACCTGTATCATTCCACCCACACCCACCCACCTGTCCATCTACTCCACCCACCTGTTTACCTGCATCTACCCTCCCACCTGCTCACCCAGCCATTCCACCCACCTGCTTACCTGTATCTACTCCACCTACCTGTTTACCTGATCCACTCCACCCACCTGTTTCTGTATCTCTCACCCGTTTACCTGTATCTACCCTCCCACCTGTTTACCTGCATCTACTCCACCCACCTGTCATCTGCCCACTCCACCCACCTGTTTACCTGATCTACTCCACCCACCTGTTTACCTGCATCTATCCTCCCACCTGTTTACCCATCTACTCCACCCACCTGTTTACCTGTATCTACTCCACCCACCTGTTTACCTGTATCTATCCCACCTACCTGTTTACCTTGTATCTACTCCACCTACCTGTTTACCTGCATCTACTCCACTCACCTGTTTACCTGTGTCTACTCCACATACCTGTTTACCTCTGTGTCACTCCACCTACCTGTTTACCTGTGTCTACTCCACCACCTGTTTACTGGTCTACCTCCACCTACTGTTTACCTGTATCTACTCCACCTTGTTTACCTGTGTCTACTCCACCTACCTGTTTACCTGCATCTACTCCACCTACCTGTTTACCTGTGTCTACTCCACCTACCTGTTTACTCGTTTTGTTTACGTTAAAGAGAAGCGGAGACAAATGAACATCGTCTTCATCAACGTGTGAGGTAAGAGAACAAGGCTCGCATTATTATGGTCACAGGTCGACCCATTACTGCTGGCGGGAAAAAAATTGTGACAGCAACGCATCTTATAACCTGTCATGGAGGAGCTGTCTCTCTCTCTCTCTCTCTCTCTCTCTCTCTAGTGATTGTTAGTAGTCCCTTGGTACAACATGTTCAAAGTAATACACATATCTCACCTGTGCGTTTGTCTGTCTGTCTTTGAGATAAAAAATTCTCAATATAGACAGAGAGACAGACAGACAGAACCTCTACCCCTTTAACTATGGGTCTTTAACTACATAATGTACTAATGTGTAAAAATTAATCTTGGCAGCGAATCAATGTTGTTTACCCTTGGTGTAATAGTGTGTACAGTCTGACGAGGTGTGGTACAGTACCGTCTTGTTTACACATGTCGGTGGTAGTGTTTACATGAGGTGTTATTGTTAGTGTGTGGCGGCAAACAGCGTTGGCTATCTTACTGACTCAACTGTCATTCTTTACTATCTAACCCAACCTAACCAACTCTAACCTAACCTTAACCTAACCTAACTCTAAATTCCAAATTTAACCTAACCTAACCTAACCCGGGTATACAGAAAATACGGGTTCAATGTGTTTAGACATTTATCGTACAATATTTACCACACAACACGTTCACGACACGTCACGCTTGACCTGGTGACGTCACGCGGCCTGAGCTCGCTTTGGGAGTAACGGAGGGGGGGAGGGGATGGTGGGGGGAGGAGAGGAGAATGAGTGGGGAGAGGAGGAGGAGGAAGAAGAGAGAGAATGGAGAAGTGGGGAGAAAGGGGACAAGTAAGGAGGAAAGTGTAGGGAGGAGGAGGAGAGGAGAATGAGGAAGAAGAAGGAAGAGAAGGAAGAAGAAGGAAGGAAGAGGAGGAGAAAGAAGAAGGGAAGTAGAGGAAAAGAGGAGGAGGGGAAGAAGAAGGAGAGAAGAGGAGGAGGAATAATTAGGAAATTTCAAACTAAACGTCTCGTGTTTTCTCTCCCACACACTGAGATAACATCGCCATATTGTCTTTGTTATTGTGAGAAGGAGAGAACAGGGAGGGGGAGAAGAGGGGAGAGGGGAGGAGGGGAGGAGGAGAGGGGGGGTGGAGGAGGAGGTGGGAAGAGGAGGGAGAGGGGAGGGGAGAGGTGGGGAGGGAGGAAGAGAGGGGAGGAGGAGGGAAGAGGAGGGAGAGAAGGGAGAGAGAGGAAAGAAGAGGAGAAAGAGGAAGGAGAAGGGAGAAGAGAGAAAAACGAGGAAGAATTTAGCTGTGTTGGGTCAGTCATACTATACAGGCATTCATTATGTATATTATCTCTATACCTGTATCGTCTAATGTACATTGTATGTATACCTACACTGTCTCATGTATATATTGAACCAATGTGCACGTGTATGATTCTACTCAATAAATTCCTATCTATCGATCTATCTATCATGAACACACACACACACACACAGAGGCAGGTCGTGTATTGTGTTGTGTGCACCTCAGCCTGGTGACGGGGGAGGGGGGGTAGAGGCCATCTCCGCCTCAGTATTTACACATTGGATCTGTCTGCCTTGAACTGGCTAATAGGCACACTTCTCTCTCTCTCTCTCTGATATTACACTTATTACTTTACCTCAACACCCTACACAGCCACCCCCCACATCCCTACATAACCACCCCTACACACCCCCTCACACACCACCTCTACACACCCCACACAACCACTCCCTACACAACCACTCTACTAATAACCACCCCTACACACCTTACATAACCACCCCCTACATAACCACTCCTACACAACCACCTCATACATCACCCTTTATAATAACCACCTCTTTACACAACCACTCCTTCACAATTTACATAACCACCCCTACACAACCACCCCTACACAACCACTCGTCATTCAGTGGATGTGAAGGAGTGTCTGTCATGTGGTAAACAATGCGAGTTGTGGTTTCAGGTGTGGGCTCAGGTGTGTGAAGGTGGGCCTGTGTGTGTAGGTGTGGGTTCAGGTGTAGGGTTCAAATATGGGTTCTGGTAGGTCAGGTCTGCAGTGGGTTCTGTACAAGTGTTCTGCAGGTGATGGTGTGTGTGTGTGTGTGTGTGTGTGTACTATATATGTGTGTGTGTGTGTGTGTGTGTGTGTGTACGTGTGTGTGTGTGTGTATGTGACCTTTTTATTATACCACTGAACACCTGTAAAGTACATATCAACTCACAGGTGTGTCATT